TATTTATTCATACAGATTTGGGGTACAAGCCAGAGGTGCAGGGGTGGTGAGAGGCTTCACCAGAGACAGAGTGGGGAGCAGAACAGGCAGATCGAAGAAGCACACTGCTGAGGGGAGCAGCAGCAGGGTCAGGAGAGGTCTGCTGTGCCATGTGGGTCACCTCTGGGGCCAGGGATGAAACTTGCACTGTAGCGGCTGCGGCCAGCTTGCGGTACTGCGTCCTAACCCGTTGCGCCACCAGGGAGGGCCTGCTACTGAAATAAATTTCTAACATTTAAAGAAGTGAATCAAAATGTGAATTACATATTAGCTTATTAAATTTTACCTGACTACTTATGTGCTAGGGTAGGTGAGATATAACCCAGACAGCCCAAACCTGCCTGTTTTAAATGGGTTCTGCCACCCAGCACATAAGAACAAAATATACTCTAGTGTGTAAGACCTTCAAAAGAAAAAAAAAACTTTTAATAATTTAGTGTGCAATAAAGAGAAAAGAAAGAATATAGCTTTCAGATCATGCATCCAAAGTTACCAATCCCCTCACGGGTAAATGCCCAGCAAAACAGGGTTGGTCCAAAGCAAAACTGCTTAAGTCCAGAAGCCCATCAAGTCTCAGGCACCTTCTGGTGGGGACACATGGAAAGGACAAAAGGGGCCAGACAAATCTGAAAGGAAAAGCGCAGAATCAAAATCAAGGTTACAGCTGCTACTGTTTTAACATTCCCAGGGGACTTTCACCCACATCTGTTTCAAGTGCTTCATTTACATTCTCCAAACATCTGATAAAAGTCCAAGGACAAGAGCCAGCACAGCTTCTTCATGTGTTTCCTCGCTCTCTGTGCCTCCTCCAGGTCTTCTCTCTCTTTCTTCCCTTCTCACAGTCTTCTAGTCTCTTCTAGCTTTTCCTCCTTCCTGCCCAGCTCCATCCTCCCCTGGATGGGGCAGGGAACCTGGAATCTGTCCTTTCCCTAGGCCCACCCTGTTACATTAAAAATTTTCTAGACCATTACTCAATAGAATAGAACAATGTTTCAGATTTCTCCCACTTATTCTTAATTATAACCTAGAAAAAAATTTCACCATGACAAGTAGAATTATTTGATAAATTATATAAGTGAATGCCTTGAATTTGATCTCCAGGAAGATCAAATTAAAAAGTGAAAAACTTGGCCCTCCCTGGTGGCGCAGCGGGTTAAAGCACTGCACTGAGAAGCTAAAGCCACTTCTGCATGAGTTCGATTCCCGCCTGCCACGGAGGTGACCACATGGCGCGGCAGACCTCTCCTGACCCTCCTGCTGCTCCCCTCAGCAGTGTACTTCGTTGATCTACCTGTTCTGCTGCCCACTCTGTCTCTGGTGAAGCTTCTCACCGCCCCTGAGCCTCTGGCCTGTACTCCAGTTCTGTATGTACAAATAAATAAATCTAAAAAAAAAAACCTCCATCAGTGTTGAAAAATGTTCTTGGGCTAAAGTAATATGAGTGGTGTGTTTTTGTTTTTTTTAAAGATTTATTTATTTTTGCTTACAGAACTGGGGTACAGGCCAGAGGTGTGGTGGGTGGGTGAGAGGATTCACCAGAGACAGAGTGGGGAGCAGAACAGGCAAAGTACATTGCCGAGGGGAGCGGCAGGCTGCCGTGCCATGTGGGTCAGCTCCCTGGCTGGGGATGGAACTCATGCTGCAGTGGTTGCAGAGAGCTTCATAATTCGGTGTTTTAACCAGTTGTGCCACCAGGGAGAACCTATAATATGAATGGTTTTTATCAAGGATTTAGCACTTTTCAAAGTAAGAATCTATAGAAAATTCACCCCAGGGAAATGGTGTTACAGAGAGCCATGGTTTGGATTTCTTCCAATTGTCACCTTTTCAGACACTTGATGTCTGACTTTTTCATTTCATCTTTCACCCTTCAGGCTCAGCTGTCTGGCAGCTGATCGCGTCCTTCCTGCGGCTTCCGATCTCAGGCACTCACTGCATTGTTGGCTCCACTATAGGATTCTCGCTCGTTGCGATTGGTACCAAAGGTGTGCAGTGGATGGAGCTTGTCAAAATAGGTAATTCCCATTTTCTTTAACTTGCAAAGAATGAAACTTTACACATTCTAGAATAAGTTTGAGTAAAAGTTACCATTATAATATTTCCCTCTAAAATGTCAAGGTCTCAAGAACATATGCGGGTAATACGTTCTCCCTTATTATAATTTCTGTTAATGGAGACTGTAGACTCTTACTAGGTACTGAATCATCTTTAACTCCAAATATTGCCTTGTCCCCAAGCCTTGAAAATCAAAGCTGTTGTTCTCAGGGCAGAAAAGAAATTTATCTGATTGAAATCAGTCTGAAGATCACAGAAAAACTAGGCCCAAGTGAGGAAAATGCCTTCAGTGTTTAGGAGTCAGGGTTTAAGTTCCTGAAAACCTCAACATGAACCCAGAGCTGTTCACCTCGCTCCATTAAGCTTATCACCTAGTCAGCCCCCAAAGAGGAAGCATTCTCATGGGCTTTCTGGGTTGTAGAATGAGTTCTCAGGCCCAGGCTTCACAGGCTCTGACAACCTGTTTCCTGGAACTGGCTTTTAGGAAGAAGGAAATCCATGCAGCCGTGATTCCAGCCTACCTGCTAGATAGACACTCACCCACCTCCATTCTGGGGGGCTTTTCCAGTTAAGAATCCCAGTGGTCTAAGGATGCAAGTGAAATTGGAGCCCCTATCTGCCAAGTTAGGGGTACATGTGTCCAGAAAAAACACATCTAGAAGAGTGAACCCAGAGCTGTTCACCTCGTCTAGAAGAGTGGTTCTTAACTCTGGCAGCCCTATAGAATTAGCTGGGGGACAACTTAGAAGTAGCAGTGCCTAGGCAGACCAGCTTTTCAATAATCCTTACTGTTGCAATAAAACCTGCAACAAAAGCAGGATGGACAAGAGCAGATGAAGGACCTCAGTGGGAGCCCAAGAAGCCTGTCTCTGCGGCCTGAGCTCAAGCAAAGACTTCCTTGACCGTGTGCTGGCAGCATGCGAGGTGACGTGGGGCCATGTGTTTGTGTCGGAGGAGAGTTAGACACTCGTCAGGGTCAGTTCTGCCAAGGCAGGGAGTTTACTAGGTTCTGAGTTTAGCGAAATCATTCTGGAATATTTATGTTTGTACTATGTGCTGATTAGCATTATATGTAAATATAACCCTAATTATGTAGAATTTTAACATTCATTTAATTTTTTTTTAATTATTCAGTTGCTTCGTGGTTTATATCTCCACTGTTGTCCGGTTTCATGTCTGGTGTGCTTTTTGTACTGATCAGAATTTTCATCTTAAAAAAGGTAAATGGGTATTATTATTTTATTGTTTTAAGCTAATTTGGGTTGTACTTGATAGAAATTAATAATGAAAGGGGTCAGAGGACTAATTGTATTTTTATAGCATTAAGTCACAGCAGCCTGGAGTCAGAACCAGACTTTATAACTAGATAGGCAGATAAAGTCAAGGTGAAGTACCCAGGGGCTTCCCCAGAAACCAGTATTGTAAACAGTGTGCTGTGCTCTGTGATTGAGTTCATTAGTAAAAGCTTGCAGGCATTGTGCTCAAAAAAGAAAGGTAATTATTTCCTGCATGTTAAACATAATAGAATGAGAGAGTATTAAGATTCTGGAATTGACTATTACTAAAAATAGCTGGAGAATTTCTTTACTCCAATGTAAGGTATATTTTAATGGAGGAAGAATGCTTAAAATATTGACTTAATTTGAGAAAAGACAAAAAGTTGGAAATGTGCTTCGTGGTGTGTTTTATAAAGAAAAAAGTGAGATTAAAATAAATACTTACTGACATCTTTATTCCAGAAAAACAATACCTGTTTGTATTTTTCACTTGATGGGAGTTGTTGCAATAATATTACAGGCCATAAAACATGCTTTTAAACAGTGTATTTCACTTACTTTATCACATTATGGGCATGCCTTCCTTCAGCTCCTTACTGGAAGATCCAGCAAAGTGTTTTTATCATTGCCCAAAAGTTTCTTGAGGGCTTTCTCTGGGATAAGTACAAGCTTATCATCATCATTTATTTTGCCATTCCTTCTCCTGGGCTGCAGCCATGCCAACATTTGTTTACCTCTTGGAAGGTGTTACCCACTCTTGCCTGATCACCTCCACCCTTCAGTTTTCTTTGCCTGTTGCCCAGTCTCGCCTGGCAAACTTCTGCTCCAACTCAGCAGGTGTTGGTTATAATGACATTTCATGGGTCACTTCCGAGGAGGTCTTGCCCCCTCCCGCCCAGGTTCTGGTGTGTACCTTGCTTTCTGCTCCCACACTCTGGATATTCTCATCACTGCACTTAGCACATTGGGCAGTGCTTATTTCTTGCTTTGTTGCCTGTTTATGGTGTAACTGTAGCATCTCTGACACCAGACACCACTACCATTTTGTTCACTTCATCCTAGTGTTCAGCACTGTGCTTAGCACTTCAGAGACACTGGTTGAATGTTTGTTAAGGGAGGGGAATGGGTGAGTGTTGGATGAGTGGCAGATGACAGAGGAAAGAAGGAAGAGAGAGGAAAAGGTGGGAGAGAGGTAGGGAAGGAGACAGGTCTCATTGAGACAGTTATCTTTTGATTTTTAGTAATAGCGTATTTGAGAAAACATAAAGTGATTCAATTAAAAAACCATGAACTTGGATTTACACACATTTAAAAGTGATTGGTTGGGGGTTCTTTATTGACATTGTCCCTGACAAAAAAACATTTTGGAAACCAGAGCTTTCCAGACATAAAATGTAAAAGTGTTAAGCATCCCAGCATTTTTTCTAGTTCACCCTGAGTTCTTTCCAATGGCCTAAGACAGTGTTGTTTGGAACACTGGTGAACCTCTCAGCCCTAGCTCCTACTGTCACTCATCTCCATGTTATTCACTTCCCTGCCGGGGCCTGGTTGTGATGCTCACCAGGGCACTCATTCCCACCCTGCTCTTACTGACCAGCCTGTGTGTCAACTCCAGCCTCTTGATGAGTGCTGACAGCTGCTGAGACCTTGCTGAATAAGTTCTTGATGCCTGTGGTGCGCTGTGGCCTTGGTTTCTACACAAGTTCGTATTTGACAGGAGATATCTGTGAAATAGTTTCCACTTATCCTTACTTCTGTGAACATGTTTGGACAAAATTTCCCTTTTTTGTGGGTAGTAGACGATTCACGTGAGTGTGCAAGAATATCTCACTTGGCTATTAGCAAACATCCTTTTTGGAATTTGTTAAGCAACTTCTGTAAGCTAGTGCTTCACTGAGGAGTTCTCAGTCCACATGTTTTCTTCAAAAGCCTCAGTATATCTGCTTAAAACTCTAAATTTCTAATACTCTGCTTGTTATTTAGCTTAAAAGATGTATGTTCCCACTCCTGTCAAAGTATTAGATTTAGGGTGTGATGTCATGAAGCCTAAAGTTGTAACTAAATGTCTTTTTAGAAAAAGAATTTTTGATTTTTAATAGTTGAAGATTTGATACTCTGCCTTATGAAAAGATTTTGAAAATCATAGCACTTGGCAATGCATTTGTGTATTTTAATATAGCTGAGATGAATTGTGCAATAACATGAAATCTAGTAGTAACGCAGTAATGTTCAAGTCACCTGCCTCTCTAAGTGGATCACATCTCAAAATGTTTGTTGAAAGGTTTTTAGCAAAAAACCTGGGCTTGGAAGAGCCATGAGCACCACAGACTTTGGAGCAGCTTCAGTCCGCAGGAATGGACCTAACAGTTCTTTTCCTAAGTCTGACATCAGCTCACAATTCTCATGCGTTCATGCATCTGCTGGGCCAATAGTGGGCTCTTTGTGAGAGCCCCTGGGGGCGCGGTTGCCCACCACCACTGCTCCTGTAGCTGTCAGCAGGCCCCGCAGCAGGCAGGCACTGGCCTGCCATTTTGGACTTGCGGCCATAGCGTTTTGTCATGTTGCCTGATTGGCTCCAGATGCTTCTTGAATCCTGACCTTCCTCTTTATCTCATTGTCATACAGGAGGACCCTGTTCCCAATGGTCTCCGGGCACTTCCAGTGTTCTATGCTGCTACAATAGCAATAAATGTATTTTCCATCATGTACACAGGAGCACCAGGTAAGAATTCCTTGGACGCTCAAACCCAGCAGGAAATATGCATTATATCGAATGGAATTGACTTCTTTGGCACTGGCACTGGTGTTTGGCAGCAAAACTCGCATTCATGGTCATTCAGAAGTAGTCACAGTTTAATTAAATGGTGCTGAAGATCCTGTTTCTCTTCATGAGACGAACCTCCTATAGCAGACTCTGAACACATCCGTTATAACGGTGGGGATGGCTGGAAGCACCAGATATATTAGTTATCCGTCTTCTTGTTAATGCCCATTATAGGCTAAGATTAGTTATCGGCCCTACCTGACAAAAATCTTGTTCTCTATTCAAAAGATAATTTTTCTACTAAATGGTACATACACCCTCTTACAGTTGGAAAGTGTCCTCATTTGAAATGGGAGGACATTCTTAACTCTCCAGTGGTTTTCTCAAGGTAGTTTTTCTTAGATTTTATTCACATACTGAATTATATGAAAATTTAAAAAAAGATTTAAGAATGATTCTTAACATTAGTGTCTCTGCAGCATTTAAAACATTGATTTTAAAGGTGTGGGGATTCATGGTCAGTCTTCCAGGCTTTGATTGATGGGAGATGGGGTGCAGACATCACACGTGCTTTCTATTGCATGAAAGCACAAAGCTGAAGGAGAGCTGAAATTCTGAAGGAGAGAGATGAAATTCTAATCGCAGGTAACAGCAACCTAATGTACCCTCAGATTTTATAACAGCTATGAAGTTGTTTAGCACAGATGGCTTTCGCCATATAGGAAAAAAAAATTTAGAGCAGAAAATAATAGTACGATGCTACAAAGTTCACATATCACCAAGTCTCTGACTCTCCTGAAGCACTCACGTGCTGGACATTTTATCTCTGTACTCCATCGCTAGTCCTTCATGCAAGGTGGGCACTTGTTCCCAAATTTTGGCTACTGTAAATAGCGCTTCAGTGAACACAGGACTGCCTATATCTTTCCAAATGAGTATTTTCATAATCTTTGGATACACACCCAGGACAGGTGTAGTCAGATTCCTTGGGAATTCTAGACTTCAAGACAGGCCTCCATACTGCTCGCCATAGAGACTGCCAATTTGCATTCCACCAGCAGTGGAGGTTCCTTTTCTCCACATCCTCTCTAACACTCACTTCCTATCTTTTGTGACAGCCATGCTCACAGTGTGGGTTGCCTTTCCCTAGTAATCAGGGAATATGGAACACCTGTTTACATGCCTTTTGGCCAGCTTCTGTCTTTTTTTGCAAAAATACCTATTTAGATCCTCTGCCCATTTTTAAATCAGGTTGTTTTGTTGGTGGTGAGTTATCTGAGTCTTTTAGATATTTTTGGATACTAGCTCTTTGTCAGATAAATGATTTGCAAATGTCCCCTCCCATTCAGTAGGTTGCCTTTTCATTTTGATAACAGTTTCCTTTGCTGTGTAGAAGCTTTTCAGTTTAACGTAGTCCAATTATCTTAGTTTTTGCTTTTGCTGCCCTTGCCTTTGAAGTTAATTTCCCCAAAACATTACTAAGACTGAAGTCAAGGAGCTTAGAGTAAGTTTTTTTTTCCCTAGGCATTTTATGGTTTCAAGTCTTAGACTCAGGTCTTTAATCCACTTTGAGTTAGTTAATTTTTGTAACTTTCGTTAGTTTCCCCAGCACCTTCTTCTACCATATCCTTGGTTCCTTTTAAGTTAGTTGTGCATTTATTTCTGAGCAATCTGCCATCTTTTTGCTCATGTTCTTAGTTTCACATAAGTTCAAGACATCAAGTTGGCTGAGAAAAAAGCCAATTAGCCACTAGTAGTGATTTAAGAGCCTGAGCTGAGGAGGCTGTACATGCTATGTGGATGCTGAGTCCTGGAAAAGGGGCTTGGTGTAAACAAGGAGGATTTATTTTTGATTCTCTGTGTTATTTTTTTCCTGCCCTCTATTTTTGCTTCTTGGTTCTTCTTCTGAATGTCATAATACATCTCTGTGATTTTTATTAACATTTGAACTTTTCTATACTTGGTTTATTTTTTCCATCTTCCCCCCCCCCTTATCTATTGCTATACTTTTATTGCAAATTTTCTAAAAGCGTCACCTTGTTGGGAGAATAAATTCTCATAGAGAAAATTAAAGTGTATAATAGATGAGACACTAAGGATAATTTTAGCATTGCATAGAGTTATTGTGAAAAATAATATGATTACTCTTACCAAGCTGAGTTTATATGAATTAATCCTCCTAGTCCTCCAAACTCCTCTGAAGACTGGTAATATTGCAGATTATGCTTTTTGTATGGGAAACTGAAACACAGCAAGGTTGTATATACAAGAGTATCCAAGATCATCTAACTTGTGAGGTGTAGAATCCAAGGTCATATAACTTATTAAGGCACAGAACCCACAGTCATGTCTCTCATGAGGTGCAGAACCAAAATGTGAAATGAGCAGTCTAGTGCAGAGCCTCAGGCTCTCAGCTGCCACAGACCCTGATACGTGACATGGCCTGGGCAAGCACCTTGTACAGTGCTTGGTACCTAATGGCATTATTAATGACAGTCAAAATGCAACAGCTTACCACAGCCTTTCCCTTCTCCTTATTCTCTTAAAACATGACTTTCAATATGGAACGTGGGTATCTGTTTTTGTATATGTCACACACAGTGGACTGAAAAGGGTGACTACATCTTTAACGAGGAATAGAAAAGCTCTGTACAAGAACCTTAAAGATCCTTACTCAGTTGGAAGCTTGAACAATATATCCCTGTGCTCAAGTCAGTGTTAAGTAAACTTTGATGGGTAACTGTTCTGTCAGGAATGTCTCATACTCACCGCCCTGAGTCTCTGTCACCTTTGAGTGAGAGAAGCTGCCTTACGTGAGCTGGGGCAGCTGGTGCTCAGCACGTGGCTGGCGTGTGACATCGCCCGCTGCACGTTGGTTCTATCTGTGATCATCCAACATAAGGAGCTTCATCTTTCGGCCCTGTGTTGCCAACATAGGCTGAGTCATACTATCTATTTTTTGCACATGTATTGGTATGGGAAATTTCTTACTAGATGTTTCCCTGGGGGCTTGCCTGGAGGAGAAAGAGAAGAAGGTAATGATTCTGAAGGACCGACCGCTTTGTTCTTCCATTAAGTCAGGAGAGGACTTTGCTAAAACGTCAGTCCCTGGGGAACGGTTCTGGGATTTCCCGTAGGTGAGCCCACATCTTATTTTTTGTGCAAGTATCGAAGGTTCTCTTTTGCCCTTCAAACTAAATTTTACTCATATATATTTTTAGTCCTTGCTTAACATCTCCCATAAGTCTGGAAAGCTAACTGTAAGCAAAGCAATGTAGAGTGAATAGAAAATGTCCTTGTCACCCTTGGTGACAGGCTGAGTTGGGAAGAGTGTCTCTGATAATGACATGGTCCATCTGCTCCTTCCCAAATGTCTGACGCCTGCAGGCCGGGTCTTATTCTTCCTAGTTCCTTTCTTTCTTAGAACCTCTCTGTTCAGCACACAGAAGGCCTCAGACTCAAAAGCAAAGAAGGAGGTTCTCAAACAAGATTGAGTGGCCAGTGGTCATCTGCCGGATTTCAACTTGAAGAGATTTTGATAAATAGCATTTTCCTGCATGGAGATGACTTTAGGGGAGTGTGGGGGGCAGTTTATATGATGGGTGATAGCATTGTGTTTTGATTTCCTCTGTTCCTCCACTCTAAATTATTTTGAAGTTGTTTATATCTTAGGCTTAGTTTGATATGTTTGAATTTGCCTTTGACATAACTTCTTCAAAGACTGAGTTAGTGCTTTAAAAAAGTGTCTTTATATCTTTGTCTTAAAAAAATTTGCAAGAAGCAAAAATAACCTTAGGAATAAAGTGCTCACTTGGGTTAGATACAAGCCTGATGTTATTTTTAATGAAGAAGTCTTCAGTTGTTCGGGACCTGGTTTTTGTTCATTGTTTACAGAAGAATGTTGGAATTCATCACATACCTCTTTGACTAGCCAGCAAAGATCACCTAATTATATACACTAGTTCCTCCTGTCCCCCAGAGGATATAGTCCAGTTGCGCCAGTGGATGCTAGATCTGTTGAACCCAGTGCAAACTGTTGTTTCCCATGCATACAAACCTATGATGAAGCTGAATTGATAAATTAGGAATAGTAAGAGATCTGATTAATGATGAAGCTTGGTAATAAAACAGTACAGTTATAATAGTGTCCTGCAATGAGTCATGTGAATGTACTCCCTCTCAAAACATCTTGTTGAAGGCAATCTTTCCAGATAGCCACAGGTAATTAAAGTCGCTCACAGGTAAAGAGGGAGTACAGTAACTTCTAAGTCAAATGAGTGGTCTCTAGACCAGCAGTATCAGCATCCCTTGGTAACCTATCAGAAATGCCAGTTCTCAGGGAACCCCTAGCCCCATTGAGTCAGAAGTGTCGCAGTCTAGCTACCTCTGTTTCACTGGGCGGTGTGGAGTGAGCCCTTTGGGCAATTCCAATACACGGTAGTCAGAGAACCACTCTTGAAACCACCTGTCACCCTAAATATGGCTATCTTATTATGGTTATAAAGGAGTGCTCCTAATAGTTCTACCTAGCAACCTTCAATCACTCTTTTACCAGCAAATGAATTCTCAAACTTAATCAGACCTACTTCTGGCTGCCCCAGGCAGTCTGTACCTGAGACAGACCACCCTCTCCTTCTCTCCCTCCCTCCTCCTTCCTCTTCTCTCTCCTCCTGCCCTACCTGCTCCCCCTCTTCTTCTCTTCCTCCTCCTCTGATGGGTAGGGGTATATGGGAGCTAAAGTCTTACTGTCTTTACAGAAGTTTTATTCATTTTATAAACTCTAATAATGATTCTACATATGAGAAAAGTCTACATAGAAGTGCTTATAAGGCATTCTGTTTTCTTCTTCCCTGAGTCACTTCACTGAGTGTGATCTTTGGAAGATTTGGAATTGAATTATAAAGATACTTGAGGTTAGAGCTACATCACTATTGATCTTTGCTGTTCAGGAGATGAAAGGGACTTGAGATGAAGGCTGCTAGCGGCCGGCGGAGGGCTGGCATTCACGGCCTAGCCTTGGCTCCTGGCAGCCACTCTTGGCCTAAGGAACTGGAGCAATTCAAGCCGCGTCCTGCGTTGCCTGTCCAGAGTGAAGTGACACACCATGCTTTATTGCCAACTCGAGGTGTAATTACTGCAAAACGATCTGGTTTACACAGGAAGACAAAGTACTTTTTGTCCAAAATTTTGTTGCATATAAGTCAACCTTCAGTTTGCAGAAGGAAAATGTTTTCCCTTGGGCTGTACACCATTTCTATTGCTTTCAGGTGCCGAATATTTCTGTTTAATTATTTTTATCCATGAAACTTGATCTCTTCTATTTAATACAACTTGGAACTAAATGGCATCAATAACTGTCAGTTTGCATTTCATGAATGAGGCTTTAAAAGTAAATCCTTGTGTTCTTCAGATGTTCTATTAAATTACTAGATTGCTGAAATGATTCAGTAGGTCCGAAATTGTCTCCATCTGTTCCTCTCTTCTCTCACTCACTGTCAATAACTGTCCCCTGATTTCCCTGCCTTCTCTGCTCCTTTCCTCCTCCTTGACTTTATTACTCTCTCTCCCACGCATCCTACCCCAGACAATGTGTTTCTCCCCTCCCTTCCCTCTAGTTCCCTGTGACCAGGAAAGTGACTTCAGAGCTCTCTGGCCACTTGAGGTCAGGCTGATGGTAAAGGCAACTGCAATGCCCAAGTTCCAGAAGCGGAGAGGTGCTGGGGCAGAGGATCAGGTCTGATCACTGACCTCTGCTCCTTCCTTTTACTGTCAGTCTGCCACCCTCACGAATCACCGGATGCAGGGCTCAGAGATGGACTTGGAGGCTGGAGGAAGGCGTACACAAAACAGCCCTTCTCTGCTTTTGTTGTGGACTCTGCCCAACATGGACGGAAAAAACAGCATCTAAGAGCAAAGGCGCCCCCTCACTAACAAAAAAAAGTCTCCCAGCAGCATCCAAGGCCCTCGTTTAGATCAGGTTAACACAAGAAGCCAAAAGTGGCACAGTTAACAATTTTATCAACTAGCCCAGGAACCACAAAGGAAAGAAGAAAAACCTCTTCAAAAGCCAAATCCTCACCTGTTGAGACTGGTGTCACTGCCCATGGATTGGTTTGCTATAATCAAGTTATACTCAGTTTGGCAAGAGCAGCTTTCCAGTGAGTCTCCAGCTCTTGTAGGAAGACACTGGTGGGAAGATAGTTAATCTAAGGCCCAGGAGCAAAGTTTTAAATAGTTCACTCCTGAGACCATTCAAAAACTTATAACGACTTATAAACGTGCTATATATTTTAAGAACTTAATATTTACTTTAAAAGTTTACAGTAGAGGCCCTCCCTGGTGGCGCAGCGGGTTTAAGCACAGCACTGAGAATCTGAAGCCGCTTCCGCATGAGTTCGATTCCCGCCTGCCCCGGAGGTGACCAATGGCGTGGCAGACCTCTCCTGACCCGCCCGCTGCTCCCCTCAGCAGTGTACTTCGTCCATCTGCCTGTTCTGCTCCCCACTCTGTCTCTGGTGAAGCCTCTCGCCGCCCCTGAGCCTCTGGCCTGTACCCCAGTTCTGTATGCACAAATAAATAATAAATCTTTAAAAAAAAAAAAGTTTACAGTAGAAAAGTATATGTAGTAAAAAGCCAACTCTCCAGTTTTTCATCTCACCACAGGAGTAACCATTGAATCTTTCCAGAACTTTATATATTGTCACATAGAAGGTGGGAATACAAGTGTGGGATTCTTTCTTCTTTAAACATAAATTCGATTTTGAGACTCTTTCAGCACATACTTGTCTGTCTCATTTTGACAACTGTGTACAAGAATTACTTCACATTTCCACAATGATGCATGTATTCGTTACCTTGCAAAGTTTTACTGTTACTCATAGTCCTATGGGAAGTATTATATCTTCATATTCTTACGCAGGCATCTGTGTTTAAGTTTATACTAACGGTGTGTTCGTAGCCACCAGCAACGAACGATATAAAAAATTCAGCGAGGAGATTTGGATCGTCATCGAGCTAGGAAAATACAATGGCACTAAGCTACATGCGCTGCTGTCCTTTTATTGACTAATGTAATTGCAGCGTACTGTGCATTATTGGATTTTAATGAAAGGTGCTTCTTTGTTATAATTCCCTGAGTTAACACTTCAAAGAAGAATTAAGCTTGAAGGGCAATGTCCTTTCAAAAAGCTTTTCTTTCGAAGCTTCGTTTTACAGAGGTTTGCGTATGTGGTCAGAGTGCCGTGTCCATTTAAAGCCGGGGTGCTGGCTGCTGCAGACCCAAAAGAGGCAGCAGTCAGTGTGGCTGGGCTGCACTCAGACCTCAGCTTACTGCCAGGGGAGGGACAGGCTATTGGGGGAACACTGGCTCTCCTTTCTAGCCACCCTGTCTGCTTGGAAGTTAGCTACTCAGATACTATGTAGATGGTTGTATTCCCAGTTTAATATGGTATTTATGCCAAATTGGTAAATTTTAATATTTCCCTTATTCACCAGTTTACCCACATATTCCCAGGTGTAGTATCTTAAGCATGCACTTTCCAGCCCCCAAAGTACAGCATATTGTTTTTGGCTGAGAGCTGTGGTAAGCTGATTCATTTTAGGCTTGCAGAATGGGAAGTACATGGCTCCGAAGTTGACCTTTCTGCACTGCCTGTGACAACACTCTGTCATTTCTCTCCCCAGTGCTCGGCCTGGTCCTCCCCGTGTGGGCCATAGCGCTCATCTCCTTTGGGGTAGCACTGCTTTTCGCCGTGTTTGTGTGGCTCTTTGTGTGTCCATGGATGCGGAGGAAAATAACAGGTGAGGGCTTCTTGATTCTTCTCATTTACAAAATTGCATCTGACTCCTGAGACTTCACACATCGTAATTGTGTAAACCAATTATATTGGCTAGTGAGGGAAATGGAAGCAAGTAACTCGAGAAGACATGCTGAGATGCACACCTAGGCCTTGTCTCTTCACCCCTCACTGCTTCCTGGCTCGAACCTTTGCTTGCTAACTTGTGGCCCAGGCAAGCAGGGAACTGGGATTCTCAGACCTTCGTGGTAAAATGGGACATGAGACAACCACGTGCAAATGAAGGTCGCTGTCTCCTGTAAAGTTAAACCATGCAGTTACCACATGTCCCAGGAATGCCACTCCCAGGAGTTACATAGCCAACAGAAATGAAAATGTATGTGCATAGATCTTTTAGTCATCTAACCAAAAGCTGTAAATTACCCAAATACTCATTATTAAGCTAACAGGTAGCCAAGTTATGCTATATTTATACAATATAGAAGAGAATGAAGGATCTATAGAAACAGCACAATACATTTCACAGACAGTATGTGGAGCAAAAGAAGCCAGGAACAAAGGAGCAATACTGCATGATTTGGAGAAAATGTGTCTTCAGTAATAGAAGCCACTAGCTGCGGGGTCCAGAGGGAGTTTCAGGAAATGGAGTAAGAAGGGCATGAAGGACGCGCTCAAGGACATGGAAGTGGAGTCTGCCTTCACTGGGCCCGTGGCCTTTGAGTTGCACCCCTGTCAGAAGTCACCTGCTGAAGAGGTATGAATTTTACTCTATGTAAGCTATACCTCCAGTGAAACATTTTTTGAAAAGGAAGGCTGAGAAGTTGCTAGAACTATTTACCTGTCACTGGCAACATAATTGAAATCAGAGGCTTGAGGCCACATGCTATTGTAGGGTTCTCCAAAGAAAGAAATCGTCACTTTTGACCTCACCAAGCATTACAGTCCTACTCCCACTGTGGACATGTCTGTATTTGAAAACCGTATTTCAAAGGCCAAATTGGCAAATGAGGAGATGCAACATGTTTGTTAATTGGAAGAGAACGCTTTTCAAATTGATCTATAGATTTAACACAATTTAAATTGAAATCCACAAATTATGTAGATTTGGACAAGCACCTTTTAAAATGTACATGGAAAGTCAAAGGAACTAGAAATAGGCAACACAATTTTGAAAAAGAATAAAGCTAGAAGACTCATACTTCTTAGCTTACTATCAAGCTACAAGACAGCAATATCAGTGGAGAGATAAACATATAGGATGATAGTAGAACAGAAGAGTCCAGAAAAAGACCTCCACAAATATGGCACAAGCACACAGGCAGTTTAAGGGAGAAAGAGTAGTTTTTACAGAAATGGTAAACAATTAATTAAAACAATTAATCCTTATACCAAGAAAAACATGTATCTAAGCCTTATGCCTTATAAAAAAAATTCACTCAAGATGTATCAGAGACCTAAATGTAAAAGAGAAAACAGTAAAATTTCTAGGCAAAAATAATAAGGGAAAAACCTTTGTGATCTTTAATTAAGAAAAGCATTTTTAAGATGATACCAAAAATATGATTTATAAAAAAAGTCAAATTGTACCTCATCAAAATTATGGCATATTGCTCTGTGAGGAACACTGTTAAAAGAATGAAAAGACAAGGTACAGGTTGTGAGGAAATATTTGCAAATTCCCTCTGTATTCAGAAAATTTAAATAATCTCAGAAATAACCTAGTTTAAAAAAAATGAAAAAACTCTTCATCAAAAAAGGCATGTGAATGGTAAATAAATTTATGAAAATGTGTTCAATACCACTAGTCATCAGGGAAAGGCAAATAAAAAACACAATGGGATAGCATTATCTAGCTATTAGAATGGCTTGAGAGAAAAGTGAGTATGTGACAAACTAAAGCAAATCAAGAATTGCTGGAATTCTCATACCTACTGGTGGGAATGTCCAGTAGGCTACTCACACAGGAAAAATATCTTGACAGTCTCTTGTAATATCCCTTTGCCATAAATATACACATACCCACAGACCCTGGAGAAATAAAAATTTAAACTCATATAAAAATCTGTACGTGAAGCCCTCCCTGGTGGTACAGAGGGTTAAAGCACAGCACTAAAAAGCTAAAGCCACTTCAACATGATTTCGATCCCTGCCCTGGGGGGTGACCACATGGCATGGCAGACCTCTCCTGACCCACCCGCTGCTTCCCTCAGCAGTGTGCTTCATTGATCTGCCTGTTCTGCTCCCCACTCTGTTTTGGGTGAAGCCTCTCATTGCCCCTGCCCCTCTGGCCCATATCCCAGTTCTATATGCATAAATAAATAAATCTTTAAAAAAAATCTGTATGTGAATAATTATGGGCATCAAAAATTAGAAACAATACAGTTTATTCACAGAATGAATGAATCATGGTACATCCAAGTATTAGAATACTACTCAGCAATGAAAAGAATGTAGCAATATGGATGACTCTCAAATGCATTATGCTGAGTTAGAGAAGCCATTCTCAAATTATATATCTTATGGTTTCATGTATGTGACATTTTGCAAAAGACAAAACTATGGGGACAGATTCCAGGTCATCTGTTGTCAACTGTTAGAGAGCAGAAAGAGGGTCTGGGACTAATGGAACCCTTTTATGTCCTGATTGTGATGGGAGTTACCCAAACCTGGATGTGGCTAGAATCAGGATTATAAACACACGCACACTCCACTGCATGCTAAATTTAAAAATCCACATTACTAAATTTACTGTGTAAGTTTAAGAATAAAAAAACATTTTAATATTAAAAATTACATTAAAATTCCATATGAATTGATTAATAGTAAAAAAACACAGTGCAATAATTTTAAAAATACACATTTATTCATTAATTTTTTTTAATCCACAATATCAAACTGAAGAGTGAACCCACACCAATAATGAGCAGTAATCAGCTTCTTTCTTTCCTGCGAAGTGGCCACCTGCTCTCTGCTGGGAATAAACAGCCCTCCTCCATTTCTAAAGGGCACTCGCCTAAGACAAGCCCTCTCAAGCATACTGCTTGTCCGATCTACCCCCTTGGCAGTGGTAAATTATACTTAAATGCTTTGATTTTTATAAAGGGCTTTTCTTAATAGCCAAACTTAAATGTCAAAAGGACCATAAAACATTTGTTTTCAGCTTCAAGCTATAAAGTCACAGGCAGAACCTGACCCTATTCCCTATTCTGGCATTTCAGGAAATGTTGCTTACAGTTCCATATGTTTTGATATTTCACTGTATATTTCTTGTTCTGTTATTTCAAGTACAGACTACTGGTTAAGGCACAGACCAGGGAGCTGGAATACCTGCATTTTACTAGTTGTGTGTAACCTCGCACAACCTCTCTACTTTCTTTTGTCATTAATAGAACATAGAAAATACTATTGATCTCATGTAAGTGTGAACAATTTTCGTTTTCATGATTGTTGTATCTTTACAAGTACTGTCCTCTCATGTGTACTGTCAGCAACTTGAGGTCAGAAATCTAGAAGTACAGTCTTGTTTTCTGCATACGTAGGAGAAAGTTAGTTTTAAAGATCTACCTGATTGCCTAGGCGGTCATGGAGATGACAGAGATGGAGAGTGAGTGTACAGGTGTATCAAGCAGAGGAGCTGAGATATTTCATTTCAGTTCTGAAGGAGAGAACTTAGGAATTTGCTCAGAAAAAAAAACCAAAAAAAACTGCAAATAGCAAGATCATTAAGTCAGCAGCTGCACATGTCAGATTTGATTAAAAAGAATGCTCCTGAGCTCTAAAATGGCTTTTAATAAATTCTTTGTCTCTATTGAAGTCAAGTGTTTTTTAAAGGAAGTAGGAGCTCTCTGTTACTTTTAAGGAAAATGGTTTACTTGTTCCCTAAGATTTGGCGACCTGAAGAAATCTGAGACCAGTAACATTGAATAGAAGAAAACCAAATAGACTATACTAATATGTATGAAGACAAAAAGGGTAAACATTTCAGTCCGTCTGAAGGTAGTCTAAATAAATGAAAGCCTGGCCTAGATGATTGTAGCATTCCAGAAAGTTTACCCTGGAGGGGACCTTGGGGATCAGGCCTAACCCTCTCTTTTTTTGTTGCTTTGGAATGGGGTGACTGCCCGAAGCCCCCATCTTTTCCTCAATAGCTCAGATTTCTGGCTTGGGCTTCCTAGATAATTGCTTGAACTTTCCACCTTCTTATCCCCATATAGCCATTACGTTTTTGTTTCCAAAGTAAGTACTAAAGTTATAAACTTTCATTTTTATATTATTTTTCAAAAGCAAGAATTCTTTTGCAAATTTTTTCCTTATGCCTACATTTTCTTTAGGCAAATTGCAAAAAGAAGGTGCTTTATCACGAGCCTCTGATGAAAGCTTCAATAAAGTTCAGGAAGTGGAGTCCCCAGTGTTCAAGGAGCTACCAGGTGCCGAGACGACTGACGACAGCAGGGTTCCTCTGACGGGGTCAGCTGGGGAGACACCTGGGACGTCAGAGGGCACATCGATGGTAACCCATCCACGGGTCAACTACGGTAAGTCTCAGATGGAGGGTCTGGGTTCACCTCGTGACAGAGGGGGGCTTGAGGGGGTAGGGGACCCAGTGAGGCCTAAGTAAGGTGGTTGGGTTTTAGTGCATGAAAGTCTCCCTATTTTTATGTTTTAAGAAAACCCAGAAGCTAGAGGCTCCTGGACACCATTCAGCCAACAGAGCAGGCTCCTCTTGTCTTGTGACTTTCTTCTAAGTGCTATTTATAGTCTCTGCATCAGCTCCAAGGCCCTCTGCAGCCACTCGCCGGCACATGTGGAGGTGCCTGGCAACCAGAGGGACAGTGGTCTCTCCAGTCCCTAAGAATGCCTTCCTCCTGGAAGATGCAAAGAAAAAGCTAAAATTGGGACTGAGGAGATTGTCCTATTGTAGAATCCCAGAAGCCTCAGAAAACATTCAGACCATCCGGAAGTGTCCTTTGGTTCCCTAATGTTCGTGGACCATGACAGGCCAGCCCAGCCTCCGCCCAGGCTGTCTGGGCAGGCGTCCCACCCCTTGACAAGGTGCGGCCTTGGCCCAATTCTCCACAGGTGTGGTCTTGGATTTGGCCCAAAGAAAGCAGATTAATTTCGCTCCGCTGATCTGACAGGTACCACCTTCGTCGTCACCAGCGGCCTTTTAAGGAGAGACTAAGTCTCCCTCCCACAGTGAACTGGATTTTGTCGCTCATGTGTGAAGTTTTTCTAAAAACCTTATAAGGATTCTCCTTTTCTTGGTTCCTGGGAATGGAAAGTGTACTGTAGTAACTTCAGGAAGATACTTAGAAGAATTTAAATAACCTTTTTAAAATCCAATACTGTTGGATTTACCCCTTTGTAGTATGTTTCCAAGTTTCCTTTTAGATTTGAGCTGAATTATTCTAGGTCCTATATAGTCAGTTTGGAAAATAAAGCCTGTGGGGACAATTCTAAGTCGTCCCCATCCCGCCTTCCGAGATGACCACCATGAAGTGGCAGGGGGTACCTCCTTCCAGCGCCGTCTGTATTCGGGAGGCTCCCAGATCTGACCTTTGTCCCCTTTTCAGGAAGGGCGTTGTCCATGACCCACGGCTCTGTCAAGTCGCCCATCTCCAACGGCACCTTCGGCTTCGACGGCCACACGAGGAGTGACGGGCACGTGTACCACACCGTGCACAAAGACTCCGGGCTCTACAAAGACTTGCTGCACAAAATTCACACAGACAGGGGCCCCGAGGACAGGCCCACCCAGGAAAACAACTACCGGCTGCTGCGGCGGAACAACAGTTACACCTGCTACACGGCGGCCATCTGCGGGCTGCCGGTGCACACGGCCTTCAAAGCTGCCGACTCGTCGTCGGCACCGGAGGACAGTGAAAAGCTGGTGGGCGACACTGTGTCCTATTCCAAAAAGAGACTCCGCTATGACAGCTACTCGAGCTACTGCAATGCGGTAGCAGAGGCCGAGATCGAGGCAGAAGAGGGAGGCGTGGAAATGAAACTGGCCTCTGAGCTCACAGACCCGGACCAGCCTCGAGAGGACCCTGCAGAAGAGGAAAAGGAGGAGAAGGACACGGCCGAGGTCCACCTCCTGTTCCATTTCCTGCAAGTCCTGACGGCCTGTTTTGGGTCCTTTGCTCACGGCGGCAATGATGTGAGGTAAGTGTGCTCACTCACTCAGCAAGGACCTGCGGGGGCCAGGTACTCGTCTGTGTGCTGGCATCCAGCAATGCAAACACAGACAACCAGAACAACCAGGCCCTGCCAGGAAGGGCAAGGGGCCGTGGACAAAAGGATGAGAGACACCCCCGTTGTGCCAGCCAGTGATAAATGATGGAGGGAAAGATAAAGTAGGAAGGGCGGGGACACGCAGGAGGGGGTGGGGTTGCAGAATTGGACAGTTGCTTGGGGAAGGGCTCTCTGAGTGAGATCTGAAGTACGGGAGAGCGCCCCTTTGGAAGGACATGCCTAGAAGAGGGGGCAACAGGTGCAAAGGCCCGAGGCAGGAGTGTGCCAGTTCTATTCTAAAGAGCACTGAGGCCTTAAGGGGCATGCGGGGGGCGAGATTAGCAGGTCCAGAAGCCTGGAGTATGCAGGAGCATGTAGGGATATGTGGAGTCTCTGCTCTTCTTACCAGCAGGGGGCCCTAGACCAGTCACTTGATCTGGAGTCTCTGCTCTTCTTACCAGCGGGGAACCCTAGGCCAGTCACTTGACCTCAAATCTCTGCTCTTTACCAGCGGGGGGCCCTAGGCCAGTCACTTGACCTGAAGTCTCTGCTTTTCTTACCCGCAATGGGGGGGGGCCTACACCAGTCACTTGACCTCCATGGCCTCTGTGTTCCAGTCCTGAAAATGGGCGCAAAACAAATACCAACCTCATCGGGTTTCTATGAGGACTAAGCGGGACGCTCAGGAGATGATAGAGCTTAGAGTAATGACTGTCACGTAATCTCTATCTATACACTTCTTACTATAGAATGATTGTAATTAATTTGTGGGACTAGTGTTTCTGTCCAAATCAGGAAAATAGGCTATTGTTGCACTTATTAGCCTGTTCTATGCCTGTGGGTTTGGGTTTGCAGACATACGCAACTTCATCTCTGATTTCTGTCCTCTGTAAAGGAAGCCTGTCCACCAGACAAGAGACCTGGACTTACTCTCTGCCCGGAATTACATAGGTGTTGCCATGTTCTTTCATTTGGGACATCATGTTCTGTTCTATCTCAGTAATTTTTTGGCGATTCCCAGCCATTATCCCACTTCCTCCTTATCAAGAATTGTTGGTACTCGAAGGTCTGATACTGGCAAAGTGCTATGAATTTATGTAATATTGTAGCCCTCCTCTAAGCTGTGCTTGGAGCTCATAAGGAGTTCCTTCAAAGAAAGGGAATCTGAAGTTAGAAACGTGGTGTTTCTTACAGAGGGTCGCACAGCCTCGCTTCAGGGTGGGTATGAAAACTAATGATTAGCAGTAATATTTGTGGTCCCATAGTGTGGGGCCTGACACATTTGCCCAAAACTGGTAACTAATATGAACGGAAATAGAAGAAAAAAAAATTTTTTTTTAGTTTACTTGTGATTTTTTAGTACTCCTGAAAAATTAATACATCATATGCCTATTAAGATGATCACTATGAAACAGAAACAGAAAATAGCAGCTGCTGACAAGGATGTAGAGAAGTTGGAACCCGGTGCACCGTTATTGGGAATACAGAATGGTGTCTCTGCTATGGGAGATGGTCTGGATGTATATGAGTAGAAATATGAGTGTAGAAATGCGATGTGATCAGCAGTCTCCCTCCTGGGTGTATATTCCAAAGCAAAGGCGGTGTCTCAAAGAACATCTGTCTGTCCGTGTGCATATGCAGTCGCTCTTCCACTGCTGTCTCCAGCTGGCAAGGCCCACGAGAGGCGGGCGGACACTCTGGAGACCAGGAGTCGCTGCATGCTGTGCCCAGGGCCTTTCATGGACAGTCATGCTGTGCAGCATCACATATATGGCCTCACATATTAACTGGGGCATATGTTCCGAGACATCCTAGGTCATGTCGTAGCGTGAGCCCCGACCTGGAGGGGAGCCCATTACATGCCCAGGCTCTGTAGCCCCCCGTTGGGACCACCAGCGTGTGCGTGGCTGATGGGCACGGCGTTGGGTACTGTGTGACAGTGTGAAGGTGCCCCTGTGGCCTAGGTGCCAGCTAGGTTTGTGGACCTGTGTACTTGGTGACTGTGATGTTCGCTCAGGGACAAACTTGCCTCCCATTAGACTAAATGAAGCGTCACTGTACAGAGCTCCCTCCCCTTGCAGTGGAGTTACCCTTCGGTAAGCCCGCCACCACCTGAAAATATCTCTCAGTCCAAAGTGCATTTTCTACACCTGACCTACCCGATGTTATAACCTAGCCTCGCTGATGTCGTCAGAGCACCTCACTAGCCTATAGTTGGGCTCGGCCATCGGATGCAAGGTCTGTTTTGAGATTCAGTGTTGAATAGTGAATTTATTGAACACTGTACTGACAGCGTCGGTTGTTTCCCCTGGGGAAAGATCAACTTTTGGGGAGAGTTTGGGAGATCAAAATTCAAAATTTCCATTGTGGTTTCTGTTGAACATGTACCTCTTTTGCACCATTGTGAAGTTGAAGAATCCTAAGTTCCATTGTAAGTTGGACACTGTCTGCACCTATGTTTGATTAATCTTCCTTTCTCCCCCCTCTCCAGTAATGCCATTGGTCCCCTGGTAGCTTTGTGGCTGATTTATGAACAAGGTGCAGTACTGCAAGAAGCAGTTACCCCTGTCTGGCTGCTGTTTTATGGAGGAGTTGGAATTTGTACAGGTCTCTGGGTTTGGGGACGAAGAGTGATCCAGACCATGGGCAAGGACCTCACTCCTATCACACCATCAAGGTAAGCTGAGGGTGCAGGCCAGATCGGCAGGCTTGTCCTCTGAGGCCACCATGGAGCCCGAATCGATAGACCCCGAAGTCCTCTTGTGCTGCTCTTCTGTCCCAGTCCCCTCAGCCCGGCCATTGGCAAGTGGGGGGACAATGAGGAGTGGTACAGAAGGCAAGCCAGGCCCCCTTCCTCTGCCTGCCACCTACCATCGCATCCCTCAGCCCTGTCCATAGTGGCACATGAGAGGGAGAGAAAATGAGGCAGGAAGACAGAAGGAAGGAGAAGTTGAAGCAGGGTTGGAAGGCAAGAGAAAACAGAACTCAAGCCCCGAGTTCACTCCCACTGGTGGTTTTACCCAGTGTATGGTCCAGAGAGCAAGTGGGGAAGAGGCAAACCCTGACCAGGCCAGGCCCAGGCCAGGCTCCTCCCGAGGCCTCAGCCACTCCAGCGCCACCTGCTGGCTGGGAACAGCACTTCCTGCCACCCTCTGAGGTTGTCACCCTTCTTTGGCCAGCAGCAAGTGGGTGCCCCCTGCCACGCTCTGTGGCATCTGGACACTTCCTCCCTCGTGTCCTCTACATGTTTACGATGTGACCTTACGATGTGTGAAGTTTAGATTTACTGGGTTAAAATACAAACTAAAAACAACTTTCAAAATAAAAATATTTGGAACCTATTGTAAGAAATCTTCTCTCCCTTAAAATTCATTTCAGTGACAAATTCTAAGATTGAGTGATTCTAAAATTAGTAATCTGATGAAAAATCACTTTTTGTAATAATAATAACATTTTAAAAATGAGAATAGTTTTTGCTAGGCTATCTTAGAAATGACTAATTCACCATTTTTTTACACAGCAGGAATTTCTGACCCAGTTACTACAATGTGTGGTTTTTGAAAACATATCAGAAAAACAGGCTATTTAAATCTGTAAATAGTATAATGAAAACTTAGTATGAATTGTGGTCATTATACAGCAGTTTCTTGTTCTGTCTGGCCCAGTCAGCACTCAATAATTGATCCAAAGAATGTTCTGGTGAGCCTTTGGCACCCTGGGGTATCAGCAAGGCTCATACAAAGAGCGCCTGTGATGTGTCTCTTGTGCTCCCTCCCGCAGCGGCTTCACCATTGAACTTGCCTCAGCTTTCACGGTGGTGATGGCCTCCAACATCGGGCTTCCTGTCAGCACCACGCACTGCAAGGTAGGCCCCTGCCAGCCTGTCCTTTCAACAGCCGCTGGGCTCAGTCCACGGTCACAAGTGAATCTGAGAAGAACTGGTAGTACTTTGTATATGGTTGTTTGTGAAAAGGATCATCTCAAGCTGGGTCTGCTGAGAGCTGTTTTGGATGTGGGCATTTGCTTTTCTCAGACTGTCCCTCTCGACCTTTCCTGCTCAGCAGCCTGACACGTTCAGTCTTGCAGACTGCTCTCAGTGCATGCACAGCAAGAGCTTTCCCTCTCGATGTGTGCTTCATACTTTCCACTTGTCCTGTTTCTCTCTCATGTTTCCACAGTGGATTTTGCATTGAAGTCATGTGTGCGCTAACCATATTCGTAGGCTCAAATGGGGGCTTGCCACTCAGTTCCAGCCCATTGAGGGGACTGGGAGTTAACAGTGGAACTAGAGATAAGCAGAAATCATCTCAATGGAATTGTAAGACATGGTTGTTTCAGTTTTTTCCTTATATGATGGTCAAAGTGACTGTGTTGCCATAAATTCTAAGTGAGGGCTGATTCCCAGTACTGATCATGACCAGGGGCCCTGGCATTCCTGAGGGCCGTGCAGGCAGGGGTTCCTTGTCAGGGTGGTGGGAAGTTGGAGCTGAGAAGAATCTTAAAGATGAATGAAAAAGAATCAGGCTCCCCGAGTTCGGGGAATTACTGAGGTCACCCAGGCTGGAGCCAGGACTAGAACCCAGGCCTGATAACCCAGGTTTACCCCATACCTTGGAAGAATTCTAAAACCTCTTCAGTGGGCCTCATATATTAAAAAAAATACTAATTTCATCAAAGCACAAACCACTTCCATACTGGTTCCAGCTTCCTTCATTTTGCCATTCATTTGTACTTGATGTGTGTGAGGCACAGCCAGGCGTGGAGCAGTGACCAAGGCACAGCCGCTGCCCACATTTACTCAGGTTAATAGCTGCAGCAGGGGTGTTTAGAAACAAATACCTAGTAAATGCGAGTGAGTCAGGGTTTCAAATGTGAAGGTCACACAGTATTTTCTGGAATTAAAAAAAGTTGATTTTTTTTGCCTGCTCTGTTTTGTGTGTCGGTGTGTGTGTGTGTGTGTGTGTGTGTGTGTATGTGTGTGTGAGAGTGTGAGAGAGCGCGAGCGTGTGAGAGCAAGAAAGAGGATTCACCAGAGTGAGGAGCACAGCAGGCGATCTACTGAAGTACACTGCTTGGGAGAGCAGTGGGTGAAACAGGAGAGGTCTGCTGTCCCATATGTGGGGTCACCTCCCTGGCCGGGGTTGAACTCAGGCCTTAGCAGTGACAGTGCTGAGACTTAATCCCCCAGGCCACAAGGGAGGCTGTCTTCTGGAATATTTTAACTGCTATCACCTTTAAGACAAAGTGGAGAGAGGTTTCACTGTTTTTTTCATTTTGTTTTTTCATTTGTTGCTATAGAAAACCCTTAATCTCTACTGTAAAAATCACTGCTGTTTCCTGTATAGTCAGGCATTGTGCTTATACTGCGCTCATACATGCAAATATGGCATTTATGCCGGCAGCACGCATTTCAGATTAGCAGCATTAATCCCAATTTTGAAAAAACTGTAGCTTCCAGAGTTAGGCTTCTTTCTCACGATCACACTTCAAACATGTGACAAAACAGAATTCAGACCTTCACCTTTTGCTGGTGCCTCTTGACAATCCATAGTCGCCACAATGGGATTCAGACCAACCTCAGTTTGGCGTGTGGGCAGCACCCTCTGCTGGGTACAGCTGTGAATAGGAACTCAGTGAATCCCCCAAGTGCTTTTGAGGTGAGTGAGTGCTAAGTCTCCCTGGTTTACCAACAAGGAAACTGAAGCTTAGAAAGGCTGAGTGACTCGCTCACAGTCAACAACACAGGGAGTGTGGCCAGGTCCCTGTTCTCCCTCCTCTGGCCTGTGTTGCCCAAGAACAAGGGAAGGGATGCGTAAGTGCAGTCTCCATTCATTCATTGGTTCAGTTACTTAAAAATTACAAAAGCAGCATATGTTCATTCAACTATTTCAAACAACACAAAATTATGGAGTAAAAAGAAACCATCTTCCCCTTTGTTCCACCTCCACTTCCATTTACTGTGCTGTGTGGAAGCCCAGAGGAAGTATGCTGCTGAATGGATCCTTCCCAAGGAAGCGGCTCGAGCTATTTCTCAGGCATACATAGTCTTTTGGGCTGCTTTTAAGTAAGTGTTACACCGCCTTTTTATTATTGCCTCATTTATTGAGGTAATGTTAATTCACAACACCGTACGTATTTCAGGATGATCGGCTCACACCTCTGCCAGTGTGTGTTCCCATAGTGTGCTCACCACCAAACACCGCCACCCTCCGTAATTCAGGTAGCCTCAGTTCTGCTGTCACATCGCAAGGTTTTGCTTTAGTTTGGTTTTGTCTGTTTTGGGTTTTCCATGGCATTATTTCCTAGATTCGATATACATCCTTTTTAATGACTAGAAGGCTAGTACAGATCATTTAGAAAAGTCAAGCCAAGTTTTTTTTTTTTTTTAAGATTGTTGTTTATTCACCTACCCTAATGTACATAACTGACAATGCTAATTTTACTAAAATAATGCTAAAGTTTATAACATAACCTATAAAAATAAGTGAAAAGCATAAAACGCCTATAAAACATTACATTCGATTTCATCCTTGAAAGTCATTTTCCCAATATTTATATGTAAATATATATTACTATAAATATAAAATATTTGCATCCGTATTTATGATATGAGGTGCTAGTAAGGAATTTATATCGTTTATATTCCCCCTTCATGAATAAGTGTGCATCTTATCATTATTCTAAAATATCTTACAAATCCTGTGATAGGCTTTGTACCCTTTGAGCTAGTAAATAGTATGAGAATGATAGTTGATACCTAACTCCCCTTCAGATGGGATCATGGTGGCTGTCATCCGTAAACAGACTTGAAGCAGAGTCACCTTGGCTTCTAGTTTGTCGAGTGTCCTTGGTCACGGACTTTTACAAAGCTGAGGGTCAGAGCCCTGGCTCTTGAGCCACAGTGGAGGGACGAGCAAGTGGCTGTCACGCAAGTCAGATAACCAGGCTGCTGAGAGTCCCCCGGTGCCGTCCCTCCAGCAGTCCCCACTGGCAATATGGGAGACATGTGAGAGCTGCAGGATGGCATTAAGGATGGGGTCCGTTGTGCATGAGCCACAGATCTAGAATGCCCTCCAAAAATCCTAACTGAATCCCATCCAAATCACAATGAAATTGAACTAGAAATTGTATGTTGAGAAAAGTAAGTACCTATTTGGACATTTTAATGCTCTTTTTAAGTCTCAGTTGATTTAAAGGAGCTTAAAAATTGTTTTCCTGGGGGAAAGAAAACACTGTATGCGTGTGTGTGCATGTGTGTGAGGAAGGGTGATGGTAGACAGCTAACCTGTGGCTGTAAAGTGATGCTCAGATGAAAATTCGTATATTTAACTGAACAAAGGGAAAATATTTAAATGGACATCCAAATTTATATTTTATAAAAACTTCAGACAATAGTCTGAGGAAACTATAAGGATATAGTAAATACAGAAGTGAAATAAAAAATAAAGGAAGTGATTACTAAAATAAATGATTGTAAAACAGTATCAAATCATGTCAAGAAAAAGGAGGGAGGGAGATTATGTTAGAAAAGAAAAAAACATCAGAACCACAGGTATATGAGAGAAATTTTAAAGTTTTGTAAGAAACTCTGTATACTTCTGTGCTAAAGATCTGAAAATCCCTGTAATGTGAATTATTTTCTGCAAAAATGTACATGACAAGTTAATATTAACAAGTGACACAGTCAAAAAACTGACCAGAGCAATTGGAAGAAAGGGAGAGGACATTCTCCAAACACAATTATAGACTGAAAGGGCGAAAAAAGGAGGCAGCACCACTGACTCCAGCTCCTGGTAGATTCATTCATTCATCTTTCCACCTTAAAAAGAGACAATTCTCACATTGTACAAACTTTCCACAATGCAGGAGAAAAACCCAAAATAAAACAGGAAGCTCCTTAATGTCGCCCCCTGATTTAAAATACAGGCACTCCTTAAGAGACATGGCAGTGTGGGTTTTAGCCCACCAGCATAAAGAGAATCTCACTTTAAAGCAAGACACATGAGATTTTGGTGCATTTGAAAGTTGCAATTACATTATACTGTAGTCTATTCACTGTGCAATATCATGTCCAAAAATGAAACAAAACAGTACAGTGCCATAATTTAGTAATATTTTATCATTAACCATTATCTGAGCCTTCAATGAGTCTTGATCTTTTTGAGGTACAGGGTCTGGTAAAAAACAAAACAAAACAGTACCTACAAAGCCAAATAATGCAATGTACAATATAATGAGGTATGGGCATATCACAGACAATAGAAGATACATTTGTATGTGAATATTGATTATAAAATTATAAGATGCTAATAAATTATGTCAGCAGTATTGCAAAAGGACATCTCAGCAAGCCCAAATTCTTCCAGATTACCAGATAGAAGACTGGGAAGAGAGCATGTTCATCACCCACACTGCACCTCCACAGCGCTGGATTCTTGCTTAAAACGTATTTAAAGGCAATTAATTTGACATTTCGTCAACACATACATCAGGACATACATCAGGACAACTGAAAACCTGTGTAAGGGATCATCAAAATGATTATTTAAAATCTTCAGCTATGGCCCTCCCTGGTGGCGCAGCGGGTTAAAGCACAGCACTGAGAAACTAAAGCCACTTCCGCATGAGTTCGATTCCCGCCTGCCCTGGAGGTGACCACATGGCGTGGCAGACCTCCTGACCCGCCCACTGCTCCCCTCAGCAGTGTACTTCATCGATCTGCCTGTTCTGCTCCCCACTCTGTCTCTGGTGAATCCTCTCACCGCCCCTGAGCCTCTGGCCTGTACCCCAGTTCTGTATGTACAAATAAATAAATCTTTAAAAAAAAAAAAAAAAATCTTCAGCTATAGCCAGTGCACTATATGAGCTTGATAACTCTACAGAGCAGTTCCTATAGAACATGCCAAACAATCGAGCTTTTTCTACTGCATAAGGATTAGTTAGTAGAGAAAGCTTGATTGCATGTTGAAGGAACCACGGAACAGGGTTGTCAAACTCATATAGAGCACTGGCTTTCTCTACTAACTAATCCTTATGCAGTAGAAAAAGCTCGATTGTTTGGCATGTTCTATAGGAACTGCTCTGTAGAGTTATCAAGCTCATATAGTGCACTGGCTATAGCTGAAGATTTTAAATAATCATTTTGATGATCCCTTACACGGTTTCCAGATGCTGTCCTGATGTAAGGAATTGCTAGGTAATCACTGCTTGTGTTGACAACATGTCAAATTAACCGCTTTTAAATAAGTTACTTTTTTTTTTGGTGTTGCAGTTTGTGTCCGTAAGCCATTTAGTGTGTTAGACCTCTGTGGTTAGACCTTGATTGCTTCAAAACACCTCTCCTGCTTGAACCTCACTGATAGCTGCTGGTAGTGAAGTATTTGAGGGTCAGAAGAAATTCACAATGGCCAGGGCACCTGCCAGCTGAACTTCACTGGAGATCCAGTAAAGTGTAGATGTTACAGGGCTTCTTGCTTAATGGTTTCCATTTTTAGGATACCTAACATGTCCCTTTTTCTTTTAAAAATATCAACAAACCTTAAAATGAACTTTGAAACATTTTAGGAAAGTATTTGAATCAGTGTTCATCTTCTGATTTTCAAGTACCTGTAAGTTATCATTTTGTGAAGCATGATGGACTGCTTAAATCCAGTAATAGGTATAGTTTCATTTTAATTAAAGCTAAAATGCTGCAAGGATGCAAGGCAGTTTGAAGGTAGCAGAGAAAACCAATTTAAAATCAAGAGGCCTGAGTTCTAGTCCTTACCCTGCTGTGATTTACAGTATTCCCTCTGACCCATGCATCCGGGGTGTTTCACCTATTGTAAAATGAGTGAAGTGGATTAGATGTTCTCAGTTCTCCAGCTCCAACATTTTACGACTTCGTTATTCTAGTACGTTATAGCCTTTTCATTTCATAATTAAAGCAGGTTCACGTTGCAATAAGCAGTAACCTTCGTGAATATGTGAAACAAGGACTTCATAGTTTCTAAGATGCAGTGTGAAGAGGAAACATTTAATTGATTTCACTCAAACAGAGCAGGATACAAATAGAAAAGTCCATCGAACGACAGACTGACTAGACTAATCCTAAAGTAATTATTTCTGAAATCTAAATGATTTTTTGTTATTAGCAAATTTGAGGGAAAGAATTGCTTATTTTTATAATGTAGTCGATTTTTGAGATGCCAGTTTACATCAGTTGCATGTACGTTTTGTACCTCACATTGTATCTGTGGGCCTCTCTTTAATTAAAAACGTCTGTGCTCCTACAGGTGGGCTCTGTGGTGGCCGTGGGCTGGATCCGCTCCCGGAAGGCTGTGGACTGGCGCCTCTTCCGCAACATCTTTGTGGCCTGGTTTGTGACTGTCCCCGTGGCTGGGGTATTCAGTGCTGCTATCATGGCTCTTCTCATGTATGGGATCCTTCCCTTTGTGTGACCTTCCAGCCAGTAACTAAGGAAAGGGGTGGTCTGGTGTGGGGCTGTGTGGGAGGCCTGTCTTGCCCATGTTCTTTCCACATGATCCCATACCACACTGCCCACCTAGGCTGTGGGGTCATCCTTCAGCGCTAATTTAACTACTGTACATAATCATGTGCATTAAACTGGTATCTTGGTGATATAACGTGGTGCAGTTACTTATATATTAAATATATATTATACACATAGAATAGGTAGCATTATTTCATATTCAGACTGGGAGTGGAGATATTTGCCTAGAGTACTCAACAAATCTTTGTACATAATGATTTTAGTGGCAAATTTTAAGAACTTTTTAGAAGGAAAATACACATTGGTATTTTTCCCATTGAATATACTGTAAGATAAGTGAGTTACAGATGGATGACGCATTTGGGAAGGTGTACACACGCTACTGCTGAATAATACTGGAACAGGAGTTCACAAGTGCTTTCACTGAAGAATCTGTTTATATACTGTGTATTGATTATTATGTAATATATCATAATTGCTTCTGTAAATACTTAAAACTGTAATTTTTTAATGGTGTGCTTCCCTTACCCTTTTTTGATCAGAGAATTTTGGAAAGTACCAAAGAAGCAGGGGAATAGTTTGCCAGTATTATATTTTCATATTGTGTGTTTCCCCTTCTCATTAATCCTACCATTAACCTGGAGGTAGCTAGGCTACCATGCCGTGGCTCACCAGAGCAGTAGAGTGTGGGGGGTGGCACAGCCCCCCATGCTGTACAAGGCCCACTTTGAGTTCCCTACCCCACCCCACCCACCACCTCTGCCACTTGCCAGACAGTGGTCAGCCCTGCAGTGACCCTTCATTGCTGTCAAGGGTAGAGAATGTACAGCATAAGGACACGTGGTCAAGCACTACATACCAAGTCCAGTTGAAATTTCCTCCTCTCTTCCTCCCCTGCAGCCTGAACAGCAGAATTTGTCTCAAACATTGAAGCAAGTGCTTTAAAATTCCAGGTTATCTGGGAGGGGGAAGAGTTGGGATCTTAGGCGATACACTGGATTTGAGGATTTTTGGAGGCCTTTACTAAGCTGACAGCTTGATGCTCTACTGTAGTCCCACTGGATTCTCTTCTTTGTTAATAGCGGGAGGGAGGAAGTATGACTAATGTTAGAGCCTGAAACTATGGAAATGCTGCTAAAATTTTTATATTGACAAACATTTTCTCGGTACTTCATTGTGATTTTTCATTAATCAACCATATTAAATTTATAATAAAAAATGTCCCTCAAAAACGTTTGCCTCAGAAGTTTTTCCTCTAAATGTGTATAATGTATAGTGTTTCTTTCAGAGTTTCCATAAAAATAAAAGCTATAATTTGGTTACTTTTGGTTTTTGAGTATTTTTTTCTCATTTACTACTATTACGTATTTGTGTAGAAAATATATACATGAGCATGAAAAGGTTACGAATGAACCCCAGAGCAACCTCTAGCCATCTCCTCTCTCGGCAGCCTTGAGCTGACGAACACCTAACCAGAGTGTGTCCACTGCGTGGGTTTTGTTAAAGGAGTGTCCCTGGGGCCCAGCCAGTCTGGCTTGATTCATCCAGACTGGAGGACAATGAGGGAAATTTTTCATTGGTTCCCAGATGAGGACCCAGTAAAACTCCCACTTTTTTACTGGCTCAAGTAGCTAAAATAAAAAGAAACACACCACTTGGTGCTACTACAGGAGCTTCAAAAGAAAATTCCTTTGGTCTGTACAGCAGGAACTGGGAAGGTAACAGCTAGGAAAACCAACTAGGTGTAAGTAGCCCCCCCCCCCCAAAAAAAAAATCTGCCCTCTCTGATTTTTAAAATGGCATTTTTGATTTTTTATTTCCTAGCTTTTGACAAAGTCATAGATTCAAGAAGAAATTCTTTTTCTTCTCATTTCTTTGTAAAAAAAAAAATAGCAGCACAACATAGTGCCAGTTGACTCTGTGCTGTGGGGTAGCCATCTGAACCCCCGCCTGGTCCCAGAAGCAAAAGCCCAGGACAAGTCCCACCACACAGAGCATCTGAATGACTAAGCACCCCAGTCCTCAGCAGTGCAGATGCCGCCCACTCTGTCCTCCCAGTCTGTTACATGACACCCCAGGGCTCCCTTCCCAGCATGAGGGTAGGCAGGTGAGTTCAGATGGGTCACTTTCAATGGGAGGGGATAATGGTAGGGGACTCCCTTGTCCCAGGCCACTAGAGTCGTTCCTCAGAGTTAATCAACCCTTTTCTCTAAGGCAAACACAGCCTGACAAAGCCAAGTGTAATCCTGAGTCTTGGCTGCTTTTCTCTCTGGATCTGTAGAGGACAGCTGTCTAGGCGAAGGGCACTCTGGAGGCTGCTGCCTTCCTGGTCTTGGCTCCCCTTAGAGGCAAGATGTATGTGGGGAACAGCCAGCTGCAAGGAGCCTGAGCTCTAGAAAATTATATTCTGTTACTTCATTTCTTGCCTTTCCAAAGGGACCTACGGCGGACCTTTTGAACATTAATATGTAAATACGTCTATTTTCAACAAGATAACTTTTTAAATAAGGTCTCCCTTTCTCCCTAGAGTAAGCAAAATAATTGAAAGCCATTTCATCATTAAGAAATGGGGAAATAAATGTATATGAAGATCTAGGGTATCAATGAGCATCAATGAGAGGTGGGAAAGGTACTAAAGGAGCTTAGGTATGTGCTTGTTGAGTCCTCAAATGAGGCTGTATCCAGACAGCTCACCTGTAGGGAACCCAATTTGCCCAAGGCCTCGGAGTGCTCCTGAGATGGTCCCTGCAGTCGGCACCCCAGTGTGCTCCAGTCTCCTGTACGGGATAGTGAGACATCATGGGGGTTACAAGGACACTCTAGACCTGGCACAGAATAGTGCTTGTTTTCTTCTCTTGGTGAAGGAATGAGGTGATGAAGGAATGGAAAATAAATCACAATTAGTTGGACAAGACAGAATAGCTAGAGACTATTTTAGGAACAGAGAACATTCTCTACATGCCTGTGAGAGAAAGACTAGTGAGCCCTGCAGTGAGTCCTCATGAAGGGAAATGTGGATTACAAGAAGGAAGCTAATGTCGCCTCCCGTAAGTATTTTCATTATCCTTTATTATGAAGAAGTGAAACAATCCTGAAGCATATTATGAAAAAGACATATGTCACCACCATCCTCTTGAATAGAGGCCTTTAAAACATCTGCAGCTGTCCAGACACTGGGGAAACTAAGACCCAGAATGAGAAAAAGTTTAGGAACCAAGTGGTAGCAGAGCCTGAACAGGCCCCAGGCTCCTGACCTCATCTGGCTTTCCATTCCAGTGTTCACATTGTGGTCTTTAGAAACAGGCCTGGGAGGAAGATTATGAGAAGGAATATTGTGATAGGTGATCAAAAACTTGGAAGGACGTCTAAGAAGAAAGGGTGAGAGGATTATTCAATTTTTAGAAGGAATCAAGAAATTAAATCTTTTTTTAAGTAAGGAAGATTAGAGCAAATACAACCTGGGCCACAGTAGAAGGGACAGTTTTCTTGCCTTTCCCCAAAACTTGACATTTATGGTTGAGTCAAGCCCTAACTTCAGAGATTCCAAATTATGAGTTGATAGTGCTGGGGTGGGGCAGGAAGAAGGAAAGCAGAGATCAAAAGGAAGAAAAAAAACTGACTTCCACTTGATAAATATCATCTTCACTGGCAACAGCAGCAGCACCCTGACCCCGTGGGATCAAGTTTAATTGCAACTATGGCCATCTTTCCAGAGCCTTTTTAAGAAGTGCAGTGGAGTCATCTCACAAAAATGCTAACTACATACCATAATTCAGAATTGTAAGAAATGCCAGGTCACTTCCTAAGTCATAGGGAACTGTGTACTCAAATCTGTATGCAGAAGGGTCCATGACTTAAAAGCCAAATGAGGCCCACCTGCCAGGTAACTCATTTCCACACATTTAGCAAACATCCTGTCACATGCCTACTGCTAGCCTGGCCACCGGTGGTAGGAAGACAAAAAGGCCCAAAGGAGTTCACAGGCAGTGGAGTTCACAATACAGTGTCATGGTGAGGATGTCTCCAGAGACAGGAGTCCTGAGGAAAGGCTGCTGAATGGTTAGGAGGGCAGGGAGCATTCACCGAAGAGGCAGAAATTTGGCTGAGACTCCAAGTGCAAAGTGGACACGAGGACTTTTGGTTCAGAATATGTAAGAGAGTAGTTGGCAGTAAAGATTTAGGGCTCTTAGGCCTTTGCTTGAAATTGTTACCGGAGCCCAGCTACCTCAGTGGTGAAAGCCAGCAGAAGCAGTGTTCTTTCAACTGGCTGCTCCACAAGTCAGTTGTGGCAGTTGCTCTGTAGAGAACTTTTATGAAGCAGTGCACCTCCTGGATCCTGGAATGGACCAATCAGGTTTAACTGATTGGTACTAAGTAGTCCAATCAGCCACAGGGTTGAAAAATGGTCCAATCAGATTTGTGGGTGGGGCACCCTGAAAGAGGATATAAGCCAGGGTCAGAGAAAGCTGAAGGAGGGACAATGCTAGCCCCTGAAGAATAGGAGAGTTCCAGCCTCTGAAAGAAGAAGTAAGGTGAGATTCCATTCCTAGCCTCTAAAGAAAGGAAAAGAAGTCTCCAGAAGCAGACCTCCAAGAAGGGAAGAAAAGCTGAAGACATCTGCCTGAAAGGAACACCAAAGACCCTGGGCTTGGTTTCACTAAGAATTGTTTGTTGTTGGTATAACCCAAAACCTCACCAACAGTTGTTAATACTGGGTGTCTTTGACATTGCCTCTGAGGGACCATTACTACTGGCCAGTGCTGTCCAGCACCCCTTGTGACCGGTAGAGACTATAATTGACACAATCTGCATGAGAGAGCCAGCCACTATACAATAAGCTCTATTTTCCCTACTTGTAAAATAAACCCCATGGTTGGTTGTTCCTGGAGCCTGAGGTTTCTTGCAATTGTGTGCATGGGTGAGAACCCATAGAACAGTGACCTGTCCTCTTACTGAGTACTGTCCTTTGTTAAGCTATAGTCCTTGGTTTTGGTTTTTGGCCTTTTGGGGCTTTTTGGTGGTTCTCGGGTCTCAGGGTCCAGGCAGGTTGGTGGCCATTTCACCCTTCCATCCAGCCTTGTTGCCCTGTAGCCCTGTCTGCCCCGTTTCAAGATGAGTTTGGGGAGTAGTTAGCTTTAGGAGGCAGCTGTCTAGGAAGATGGTGTAGTGGGGTTAAGTGAGAACCACACACTATATACTCATCCAAATAACTCAAGGTCTGGAAACATCTAAATAGAAAAACCAGATCCCTGGGGATGCGTAAGGGCTGGCTACAGTTAGAAGGACACACATGAAAAGTCTTCCACGTGACTGGACCACCTTCAGCATCACACTCTGGCCTAGTCACTTACTCCTCTGCCAGAAGTAATCTGATTGGTACATTTGGGAAGAATGAGCTGGGGATGTTAGAGTCAGGTCCTGATTTCCTCTTGGGAGTCACAGTGGCACCAGAACTGCCATCCTTCATGCCACCCTACTTGGGCAGAGGCCTGCCTGGTCAGAGGACATGCTCTACTGTCACCCTGAGCTCAGGCCTCAACTAGCCTTCATCAATGATAAAGATGGAGCTTTTGGCCTCTAACCACCGCCACCTTGTCCTATTTTACAATCTGTTTAAACCTGAATGAGGAAGAATAATGCTATTATGAGATCACTGAGGCCCTGTGAGGTACAGACTCTCTGAGGACAAGCATAAGTAATGTGAAAAAGCTCCGCCCACAAGCAGAACACCAGCGTGGACAGTTAAGGGTGTAGAGACCCTCCACAAACATATTTAAGTGGAGGGCAAAAGAAAAGGGAGACTTGTTTCTCAGGCGAGGCATGGAAACTGGATCAGAGCATGCACAGCACTCACAGTCAGGGTGAGGTCCTTGAAAACAGCAGTCTTCGTGCACACGCGTGTAGAAAGCCCCTTGGGGCCTCCCAGAGCAGTTTCAGCTCTTTGTTGGTCCCCTTCTGTCCAGAGTCCTAGACCTGAGATTGGTCAGGCAGCAGTGAGCTGCCAAGGAGAGACATTTAGTAACTAAATGAAACTTCAGGGCATTTATTGATCCCCCTTCCCTTGAGCAGTGATGCTCAGGTTTTAACGACAGATTAGCAACACACTGTTAACAACTTCTGGTCTCTTACAGAAGTTATCAGTACTTCAAAAGTGGTGTGAACTTTAATCTATTATAAAATCCAATATGGACTTTATGCCTATTAGTTTCTTGTCATAAGCAACACCAATACTTTGATCAGTTGACTTGATTAATT